TTTGTTTACGTAGTTTAATTACTTTTTTTTTTCCTTGTAGAATTTTATAGGGTTATAAGCATAGTATGCTATTATGCAATTTTAGTTTATTATAGAAAGTTTAGACTCGATTTAGATTAATCAATGCTTTTAATTTAGCTACCAAATCATAGCTATCATCATTTTAACTAAAGACTCGATTAAGATAAATGGGCAGATGGATTGAATGGGTTAATGCTTGCTAGTTATTTCTTTCGTGTAATTTTGCTATGCATTGAATGTATAGGCAGTTTTGCTAATATAAATGGGCTGTCATTATAATTTATTGATTTATAAGATGTAATTCTCTATGAAGTAAAAAGTCGCTCTATTTAAATCTTTTATATAGGAATTTACGAAGATGATCCGTCTTGTTGTCCTGTAATCTTTCTGTTTATTCGAATTTTAATAACTAGTTTTCAGAAATTTCCATGATTAAATCATGATTTTGTGCTAAGAAATGTTTGCATTTAAGATTGTAGAAAGGGTAAAGCATTGTAGAAATGAGCGAGTCATATTATATTTTTGGTTCTAGTTCGAGACAATTTAGAATTTGGCTATCCTGAATATTTGAGCTGACAAACATGACTTATAAAAATGCATTTGGAGGAAAATAAAGGAGTAACAGCAAAAGAAAAAAATGATTCATTTTATTTGCTGCATTAATTACTTTGTTCGTCTTATCTAGGAGTAATTCGTGATTTCGAGATTTGTGTAACTGGATACAAACAGTGGTTAAAGCGACATAATATTTAGATAATTGTTGATTCTTCATTCACCCTTGATCTCCTAAAAAAACACTAAATTAAAATTATAATATATAGCAGTTAAGCAAGAATGAGTCATTACTAGTAGGTAAAGATTTGAGACTTTCCCATGCGTAAAATTTAGAGAAATATGTATATTACCAAATTATGTTGGCATGCCTCTGTAATATTATCTCCATGTCGTATCGTTATATTTTAAAACTGCGTTTTAAATTCCAAAATGAATTTAGCTTTTTTTGCAGAGAACATCAGCACTGGCAAATATTGTGCAACGATTCGGTAGCCGAGTTCGTGAAGCCTTGGCGACGGCCTCCGAGGCTATTTCAAATGCCGTTGTCGACAATGATCCTATCACGGTCTGCATTTTATTCATTTTTTTGTTTTCTCACACCAGAAAACTGCACCTGATCGCGTTATTTAATTATCCTTTTATCATTCTAACTTATCATCCCTTTATCATGCTTTGATGTGTGAATAAATAAGGTTCCGAAAACTTAAATTGAACTTTAGAAAAAATAGAAATTTTTTCCATTCTAATTTGGTTGGGAGATTATCAAAGAGAAAATTTTAAACTACAAAACTCTTGTTTAAAATGTATCCTTTTTGACCCTTCACTGTTTTTTTTTTTTTTTTTTTATTTCTATTTTCAAGTACAAATTCATCTTGATGTATTATATAGAATTCTTAGGAAATTTTTATATCGCTTCATACCTCCTCCTTCTGACCCCTATTTACTACCTATATCCCTCTCAGCTCAAGATAAGAAATTCTTACTTTTTAGTAATATGTTACAGTAAGTTCAATGTTGTTCAGACACCTGTGGAATCTATGTCTCGTTTTATCAAGGATATGAATGAGAAGGGTATGGCAGGTTTGGCCTCGGAATATCGTAAAATTGATGTGGAAGATACACCATTCGGCTCTCACAAATCGTTTTTAATGAATATGGCTAAAAATCGTTATTCTGTTAAGTTTTTTTCCATGAACACCAAGTTTTATTAAGTTTGTTACATTTATGAGAATTTTTTTCGGTTTCTTGTCCAACATCTTTTGTTTTTTTTTTTTTTTTTTTTTACAAAATTTTACGTGCTATTTCGGTTGTGGTCTTGTAAAGCTTATAAGAATAGTTTTTTTTTTCCCTTTTTTTTTCATTTGTTTTTCTAGTCTAAACTAGAATAATAGTAGTGTTAGATGTTTGTTGGAGATTTTTTGTCGCAAGTTTAATCTTTAAAACTTGTACTGTGAAATAGATAATTATAGATGTTCTGTGTGTTGATGAGACGCGAGTAGTTTTGAAAATTGGACCAGCCGCAAGTGGCGATTATATTCATGCAAATTATGTGCTGTTTTCCGAATTCCAAAACAAATTTATCTGTACTCAGGTCTTTTTTTCAGCTTCCACATTATTGCTTAAAAGTATATTATAGCACTTAAGAATAACGGATGATTAATTGTTTTATTACGTTATTTTCATCATTACCATCCAAAATGAAAATATTTTAGGGTCCTTTACAAACAACTAGAGATGATTTCTGGAGGATGGTATTTCAAGAACGCGCTGAAACAATTCTGATGCTTTGCAGGTTTATTATTTGCTATTTACAGTGTTAATGATAGTGATAAAATTGATATATGTGATTGTGTGTTAGCTGCAGAACTGTAGACGAAATAGTGGAAGCTACTATACTGTTCCTTGTACATTGACATGGATGTATATATAATGGACACGGTGTAGTTCAATAAATTCATATTAATTGTTATTAAATTGTAAGTAGTTCTTGTTTCTGTTTTAATATTCATTTACTACTTATCTTGTTTGAATGTTATGCAATAACAGTTTTTGGATTTCATTATTTTTTGTAAGTTCTTATAAGTTTTCAACAAATTTTATTTCTTTTAGACCGTCCGAAGATGGCAAACCTAAATGTGCTGTATATTGGCCAGAAAACGATGATAAATTGGAACTTAGCACAGTAGATGTTGAGAAAGTTGGTGAAGAAAATTCTGATTTCGAGACTCTACTTTTTAAAGTACAGCTCAGAGATGAATTCAAACAATCGCCGTTTATAAGCAATAAGGATCCACTGGTAGTAAAACAGTATCGATGGAGCACGTAATTAATTTCTCTCATCATTTCGAATACCGAGTTTTATAAGCTAAATGTGCAGTATTAATTGAAAAGAAATAGAAAAAAGTATGAGTGCTAACTTGTTAACATAGCTGATGTTACACTTTTGTTTTTGAAATTATTCCACTTTTTATCTATTTACTGTTATGTCAGATGGCCTGATCGTGGAATTCCAAGCCATGAGAATGCGATGATCCCTTTGAAATTGTTATCATTAGTAAGGAATACTCGAGCACCGTGTGTTGTGCATTGTTCTGCTGGGATTGGACGAACTGGTACCGTTGTGGCTATTGAACTTGGCATCAGACGGTTCCACGATGGCCGCAAAGTTGATTTGGCAATGGTAAACTGTTTTTGGTTTTTCTATTATGATTTAAAAATTAATGTCAATTATTGAGATAAAATGTGTTTAAAATTATAGAAATTTCAAGAATTTATGAAATTATTTAGTTTGAGTGAAGTTAACAAAGAAAAATTTTTTCAGCTTGTAAAAGATCTCAGAAAGAAACGGGCGCAATGTATACAAACCGAAATTCAGTATTTGTATTTAAGTCGTGTGCTAACCGAATATGCTTTGAGCTCCGGTGAACCACTATCTGATGATGTGCGTCGTGCAGCGGAATCATTTCTCAAAGAATATGATTCGAAAATTAAGAAGTAATTCTATTTAACATTTTGTGTTTGAAATTTATAGTGATGTAGGATAAAAGAAAACAGATGAACTTGTTTTGCATATTTTCTGACATAAGAAAAATATAATTTTTCAGAAAAATTTTCTCTTGAATATAAGTTTTGATTGATGATACTTCATACAGTTATAGCTTATACTAGCTTTGGCTGTTATTGTCGTAACTTTATCTGTTATTCATCAGTCTGTTATTGGTTGTACTGAAGCTAGAATTGACAGAGAATCAGAAACTACGATTTTTGTATTGATTTGAAGTGGAAGAAAATATTACTCAGGCTATAAAAAAGTACCAAATGCTTTAAGTTAAAGTTTCAAGTTATAAAGTAAATATGTTTGTTCGCTCGTTTTAACAACCCTTTATATACTCCATAATGTTTGTGTGTAAAGTTGTTGTTTTCATTTTTTTTTTTTAACTAAATTTATATGTCACAAATAAAGCTTGTGAATTCGCATTTCCGTAATAAAGTAATAACACTGAAATCTTCAGGAAAATCATATACTATTTCACTGCATTAAATTTTAAGTGAGAATTAATCGTGATGTTCCATCATGAATCCGTAATACTAAATAAAAAGTTTTATTTTCCTGGCACAGATTCTCAAGTTTTATTAGATTACATTTTTAAATTAAATGATAAAATGTTATGATTTATTCAATACAAAAATGACAATGCACAAATGAGACAAGGAATAGTGAAATGAACATGATTAGTCGAGAATTCCTTTCCAAAAATTTAATTTGAATTTAATTTTAATAATTTAGATCTCTTCACTGATATCAAGACATATTTGATGCTTTCAGCTTTCAAACAAATAAGTTCAACTAAATGGAATATGTGATATGACTTCTCGGATTTTTCTAAATTTTTTTTTTTAAAAAAAAAGTTTTTCATACCTTGCAACCTTTGAACCCGTATATAACAACGATTGCAATCTAATGTGATAAAGTCAATTTCAAGAAGTATTATGTTATTGCACTACACTCATTTTTATAAGAAGAAGATATGTTTTGCCATAGTAAAATCAATAAATTCAATAAGCTATAAATGGTTGTTTTGTCACTTAACTGTACAACACTGAATCTTAGAGTAAATAGATAAAACTCAATATAATAAAATTTAAAGTACTATTATAAAATAAAAAAATTTTATTTTGCTTTTTATTTTGTGATAATTCCATAAATTATTTTCTTATTGCACTATAAAAACTTAAGCGTTATTAGTTTTTGCAAATAAAATAATAAACAGAAATTGGATGGGTGAAAGTATATTAGAACTAGCAGATAAATAAATGAATTGATAAAATTGATTGTAATTGTTGTAATCATTATTTCCTTTCATACTTTTATTTTCGGTAGATGAGAAAGGAATTATATGATTGATGAATAAAATTGAAAATTTTTAAACTGTGGTGAACATATGATTTAGTGATGGTAGGGAATGGGATGGGTCGCTGTCGAGACTTTGATCTGATTGACTGCTTAAATTTGATTGACTACGAAAATTGTGCCAGTTGCGCCGTAGTTGTCGAGTCTGAAGAAAAAAAAAAAGCATTTGATATTTTAAATAATTTATGTAGCAATTTCTAATAGAATAAAATAGCATTGAATTGGAATGAATAACACAATGAATAATTTAAAATGTCACATTTAACAATATTTCACTCATTGAATCTATAACATTTGATTCTTCTTTTTTCATTGTTATAAATTATTTTTATAATAAATTAAAAAGTTTTTTTCATTGTTATTTTTTGTAATGAACTAAAATTTTGATAAATAACTTCAAAAATATGCAATAGATACCAAAAAAAAAGTTATTCTGCCATTCTACTAAGTGTTCCTTTTTTTTTCTTTTTTCTCATCAAAATTGCAGAAAATTTTTATTATCAATTAATCAATATAACTGCATATTTCAATTGAAATTTTAAAATAAATTTAACACAAACCTCCATATAATAGCCGTCACGTACGTTTGTAAACATTAATTCAACTAACGTAGCCCAAGCTTCAATTGTTTCGGTAGGCTAAGAAAATATGATTATTAGAATACAAATTTGTTTCGTTTAAAATTTTAAAAATTATAGCTTATATCATAAACGCACTAATATTATTATAACGATTGATTAAAAATTGTTTGTAAATATATTGTTCTACCTGAATGAGTAGCACCATCCGGAAAAATCTACCTGATGAGCAGCACCATCCAGAAAAACACATTCGGTTGTAAGCGCATCAGCTAAAACAGAAAAGAAATCTGCTTTAAAGCCCCAACTACGTTTATGAGCTTGCTCAATACCATATTTACTCGATATTTGTCTAATCTGAAATGTAAATTAATGAAATGTTTGAAATATGATATTAATGCATAAAGAATTTACTTAATATATTAAAACTATTCTGGAAAATCCTTTTCAAAAATTTTTCATATGAAAAGTATTTATTTTTTTCAAATTTTTATGTCTGACTAGGAATAGAAATTGATTTAATATTATTTAGAAATTAATGCAATATTATCAAAAAATTGATGTTACCTTTTCTGAATTTGTTATATTTTGTACCACATCAGTAAGAAATTTTTTTAATGCTATAACTAATTCAGTTGATTGCTCATTGCTTAAATTTCCATAAAATTGCGCAAAATCATCACGTTTGTGTGCCATTCGTTGAACAATTCTTAATGCTATATCTGATCGTGCATTTTCCATACAAAATAATATGATTGACTGGAAGAAAAATAAAAAAGAAAAAACGAAAGTAATATATTCATTAAACTGAATTATAAATATACAATAAATTTAATTATCAAAATTGAATTTTAATTTATATTAAATATGAAATTTAATTTGAAATGCAATTTAAAAGTTTGAGAATTTCAAATATTGGATATTATGAATTGCTAATTTCAATCTATTGGAAATAATATCAAAATAATTAAACACTCTCTCTATCCATTTTTAGTTAGTTAATCCTTTTGTCTCATTTTAAACTTAAATCTTTCACCACAATTGGAATACTACAGTTCAATTCTGAACTAAATACTTACTCTTAACTGAACAATCAAATTGACACTTATAAATTGAGATATTTAATGATTTATAAAAATATTCCAACTGTAAAGTATATGCTGTAAAAGTAATTTAGAAGTGATCAATTATAATTTTAAAATTTACCTGTGAATTTGATGATAATGACGGTGACTTAGTTGTTGAAGCAATTGAAGGACGTCGCATTGTTGGTGTGGAACGGTCACTTTTTTTGCTACTACTACTACTGGCTGCTGCTTGTGGTGATTTAAAAATATCAGTTGAATGTGGCCTTCGAATGATCTGTTTGGAAATGTAAATTTTAAAACAGTAAAACTTATTATTGTTAGAATTGAGAACTCAATAGCCAAAAGAAAAATTTAGTATTTGTTGAGGAAAAAAAAATCAATTGAAATACTGATGAATTGTTAAATTTAACATCATTATTAACATTAAATTCACAAATTTTATTTCGATTTCATTTTATAAGTTTATCATTGATTACATATAAAATTAATGAAAAAATCAAGGACATATTTAACTAATAGTCATTGTATTTAACTAGTTTATAGTTGTGATATTTGAATTTAGTAAGCAAATTTCAAAATTTTTAAATAAAATTTACATTTTTATTTAATCCTCCGTTTCAAATTGAAATCTTCTCTTTCTTTCTTTTTTTTGGATTAAAAGTTTCATCTCCAAATGAATTTTTTTGTTTGTTTGTTTGTTTTTTTTTTTTTTTGTCAGTGACTACTTTAGTTTGTTATGTCTATTTCAGTCAAAATTTTGCAATATTTTAAAAGTTCGATTTTGCTTTATTTTCATTATTTCATATTATTCATACCAAAAAGAATATTTTAATATTAGAATGAAAAAAAACGAGAAAAAATTTACTTTCTTGTTATTTTGACTGTTTGTTTTACATTGAAATGATGAATTGCTTGTTGCTATCGAATGATCCTTACTTTTCTGAAACAATAAAAATAATTTATTAAATTAAAAATTTTACCATCCATATGGGAATAAATTATTATATCATTTGAATGTCATTTATTATTTACATTATTTATTATAGAATGGAAGAGAATATAAAACAAACTTTTTGATCATAAAATATATCTGAGGATTTGATTGAATTCATTTTTTGTACAGTCTTCTGCAATGCTGTCACCGATCGAGGTTTTGTCAATGAAGCATGCGAGAATGTTTGGATGGAATTAGTTGACAGGTAGCTTGAATCGAACGACATAGAGATGTGTCGTCTAAATGATCAAAAGCATAAATGGATCATTTCAAGATTTTAATTGCTACTATATAAAGTATTGTACCTGAATTGAATTTAAAATTATCTGTTAGTAAATAATAGTCATTTTAGTTTGTTTACTTCTCGAAAAACATACTTTAATCCTTTTCAAATATGCCAATAGCTAATGAATCATTCTCATTTTAGAAATTGAATATTAATTTCATTAATTGAAATAATTTAATTTACCTTAGTGATCCGTCATCTGATCTTCGACTTGAATTCTGTAAAAAAAAACCATTTTTAAGTAGTAATTTGTGCTAACTCAGTTATATTTAGCAAGTAAATATGACTTTATTATGCAAATAATTCTCTTAATTACCATTTTTCAATGTTGTAACAAAAATAATGAAAATTAAAAACTGAAAAGTGTTATAATTTTATGTGAATAATAAAATTTGATGTTTTAAAGAAATTTCAAAAAAAAATTTTATTTTATTTCTTTCTTAAATTATAATGAATGTGAGAGATTTTTTTTCTTGTAAGTATTGCAAATTTTTTATATATAATCGTTGCAAATGTAAAATTCTGGAAGTGATTAAATTTAAATTAAATTTTATTCCTCACGAATTAAGATTTTTATTTTACAAAATTTTAAAAGTTTTTCAAAAAAATAAAAAAGAGCAAAAGTTTGTACAGCACAAAAATGTTATGAATTGATTTTGACTATTTGTGACAAATTTTTAAATAACAAAATTTCAATCATATTAATCGAACTTTAACTAGTAATTGAAAAATAATTCATAAACATATTTTCAAATTTAATTCTAGAAAATTTTAGCAAAGATAATTGAATTTTCTTTTTTAAAAAAGAAATGAAATATTTTACTTCCGCACGATGACAGGAATGGAAAGAAAATTATAAAAGAAGGAATTAGAAAAGTCTATTAGAAAGTCTAATTAGTATATCTCAACATTTAATATAATTTAAATCAGATATATCCAATATAATATTACTCCATCAGGAAACAATAACCTCAATGATTACTACATAAAATAAAATAAAATTTTATTTTATTTTTAATAGAAAAGAAAAAAAAGAGATAATGTGCATATTTTATAGAAAATAAACTTTATAAGAAATTAAATTTTTCCTTAAATAAAATGACGCATTTTATTATTATCAGTAATAAAATTAGTAATTAAATTAATTTTGAAGCAAAAAAAAAAATGTAAAATAAATCAAATTTACTCTTTTTTAATATGCATAATTCATATAGAAATATATACTTAATGAATTTATAAATTATAAATCGATACTTCTATTTTTTTATTATTTTATTTAATATAATAAAATAAATGTAGCTTTTATTTTGTTTTCATTTTTTTTTTATTTTAAAAATAAATTAAAATGATAGTCTATCTCTATTATACAGTATATTTCTTTCTTCTTTTTTTTAAAAAAAAAAAAAAGTTAAAAAACAAAAAATAAAAAATACTTTTTAACGCTTCATATGTAGAAAGTTAGTGATGCATGACATAATTGGTTTTCTTTTCTTTTTTTTTCTCTTTTTATGGTTCAATAGCAAACAATTTATTGCATCTTTATTTGAGATTTAAAAAAATAATAAAAAATGAAAAGAATAAAATTAGAAATAAATTTATTTCATTTTATTGTGAGAATAAATTACACTTCAATTTAATATTTGTGATAAATTATGAGTGAGTGAAAAATGAAATTTTACTCGTTTGATAAAAAAGTTTGAAGATTGTATCTAAATTAAAATTGTGTGTAAATAAAGAAGTGAAAATGAAGAAAGAAAGAAAAAAAAGAAAATTAAACTACAAAGATTTTTAACTTTTTTTTTCATTCTGTTCAGTCTATTCTTTTGACATATATTTTTCCACATGAATTTATATTTTTTTTTTAAACTGAAATGTTAAAAAAAATATAAAATATTTAAGTTACTGAATTTTTTATTTTTCTTTTTCTTATATTCAATCGAACAAAAATTTCTTTTCTCTCTTTTTTTTTGCATTATTTAGAAGAATAAAAGAGACATATGAACTAATTTTTTTTTTCCACAATTCCATAACTTTAAAAGGAATCATCAAATTTTTATGAAATCAAAGTAACAAAGAAAAAATTTTTAATGAAAGTTTTTTTTTTTTCGTTTAGTTTTAAAAGAAATAATTCAAATTTCTGGAACTATTAAATGATTGAATTATGCATACTCAATGATAAGTACTTATACACTCATAAACAAATGTTCCTTCTTTTTTTTTTTTTTTTGATTTGAAATATAAAATTAATACTTACTCGAATAGTATTTCATAGTAAAACTAAAACCAAAAAAAAAAAAAAACAAGATGTTTAGAGATTATAGATTAGGTCTTTAGCTAACTGATATTTACTAAAATGAAAGATTCTCATTGTTTTTTGTCGGTTTAAAAATAAAAGATAATTTAGTAATTAATATAAAATTTTCATAAATTTCCGCTAGAATTTTTTTTTTTTGCTTTTTTTGCCTTTTTTACTAATCTTTTGCTTTTTGCTCATCTGGAAATCAATTAGAAGTCTGGAATATAAATAATTTTTAGTTGGATTTGAAGAAGCATAATTATTCATATTATGTTTTAATATCATTGGAATGATAAGTATATTAGTGATAAATATCAGTGATAATAGTAACAGTAATGGATAATGATGATAATATGATAATAATGTTAATAGCATTGATAAATAAAAAATTATTAACAAAAAGCGATAGAAATTCGTTTCTTTTAGAACGATAACTAAAAAAAATTACAACAAGATTAAGCGAATAAACGATGTTAGATAGACCAAAATGAGATAATTTATTTATTGTTTTTTCTTTTTTTCCTTTTTGGTTTATAAGATATTTTCAAAAGAAAAATTATTTATGGTGATAATGTGCAAATAGCTTTAGACAAATATCCAATTTTTGGATGTAAAAAATACGAAAACAATAGAAAGTATTATTGTGGCTGATAAATTGAAACAAAAAAATGAAAAAGAAAAATGTGTAGAAGTGGACAAGTGCGCACTTTTACTTTATAAAGCAAATATTTGTGTTATAAATTTTGAAAAAAAAAATGTTGAATATTTCATATATATATATAAATGTATGATAGATATAGAGCTCATTAGTACTTCCGCATGGGTATGTTAAAGAAATGCGCACTTAAACTACATGCTATCAATGGTTGATGAAGCGATACAATTAACAATTGCTTATTGGAAAAAGCAAAGTTATAAAATGAACATTCATTTAGTTAAAATTTAAGGAAGAAAAAAACAAAACGATTATTAGAATTTAACAAATTTAAATATATGCATTAAAAAAATTAACTGATTTATTGATGCTAGTAATAAAATAAACGACAGAGGGAAGTATATTTTTTTGAAAGTTTTTATTAAAAAAATGTCATATAGACTAAGTAGTGTTCAGATCAACGATAAATGCGTTAAGTTTAAAAAAAAAAAAAAAAAATTTTTTTTTTCTTTCTTTTTGTTTAATAATTTTGCATATTGTAATATTTGAACAAATGATTTGCCTACGAAATTTGTTGTTTACGATAATATTTTAAATTAAAAATGTATATATTTAGCTAATAGATCAAATGCTATTCTGTTAAAATATTATTAAAAGTTAATTTATTCATTTCATTTAAACTAAAATATTTACAATAATTTTGAGTGAATGAAATTGTTTGATAAATTCAAATGTTACGCATCATTTCATTCATTTTATTTATTTTTTTTTTTCAATTTTCAATATAGAAAGTAAAATTAATGCAATCATTTAAATTATTCAATGTAATTTATCAACTTACGTAGTCTATTATTACATTAGATCACAGTAATAATAAATTCTAATGATACTTAAATTACATTAAAGTTAATTACATTGCGTAAGCACGAAGATATATTTTAAAAAACAAAATAAAATAAACTGTGATAATTGGCTAATGCGTATAATATAATTAATTAATTATAATTAACCAATAAGTTTTTTTTAAAAAAAAATATTATTAATGAAAGAAAAATTTTTGCACAACGAATACTTAAAAGTTGGCGCACATAAACTGTTATTAATTTCTGCGCACAATATATGAATTCAATTTTTAATGAGAAAACAGAAAAAGTTGAGTGCTCAAATGGTAAAAATGAATTGGTCAGTTTTATTACTCATAAAAAATGTCACCATTAAAAAATTGATTGTGGAAAAAATGTCACTATAAATTTCAAAATTATAGTTTAAAAAAAAAAAATGATATTAGGATCAATAAATGGTTTATAAATTTAACTATCAGTTTATTATCTTAATTACTATCATTACAATTTTAACCTTTATCAAATAATTAAACTTGATGAAAAAAAAAAAACATATCGTAAGTTTTAAATTAGAATAATCAAATAGAAATATTGAAAAGAAAATGATAAATGAAAAATTAGCAAATAATTAGCTAAAAAGTATAAAATTAAACATATCCTGTTACAAAATTAATCTTTTAATGAAATTATTTCCTCAAATATCATTCTCAAAGATACTTAAATCTTATTAAATTTTCTTCTCATTAACTTATAATGTGAATAAGCATTTTAGATTTTTAATTATTACCTTTCAATAAATCCATTATTATTATTATTATTTAAATACTATTCTTTAAGTAAAGTAATTCTTTTCCATTGCTCAAGTACTAATTCTTTCAATAATTTCTTTTATTGTTTGAGTATTACTATAAGTGCAATTGAGTTGAATAACAGGAAAGTTTGATAAAGGAATTAGTATTCCCTTCATTAATTCCCTCTTTTCATATCTTTTTCTTTTTTTCAGAGAATTTCCCTTTATTCTATTTTATCCTATCCTATCCAATTTTTCTTAATTTAACACTTTTTATATTCTTTCTCTCTCTCTCTCTCTCTCTCCCTCTTTCTCGTTTTGAATATCAACAATATAAATAAAAGAGAGAGAGAGAGAGAAAGTAAAACTGATAAATAAAATTTCAAATAATGACTGTAATCCTCTCCTTTTCCTTTTCCCTTTCCTTTTCCTTTTTTTTTTTTTCATTCTTCATAAACAAATCGTATAGCAAATTGAATAATTTAATAATTTAAACAATTTTAAATAATTAATTAATTTCAAAGAAAATCAACTTTTTCATTTTATTCCTCTATAAGAGAAATTATATTAAACATAATATAAGTTAAGTAATTTTTAAGTACTAATTAATTTAAATGATAATTATAAGTATTGAAGTAAATAAGTTTATATTTCAAAAAATTTTATTTATTTAAACAAAAATTTCCAAAATATTTTTTATTGTATAAGATAGACTGAAAAGTGCAAATGCATAATACATGCATTGAATATAATAGCATTCTCTCCTTTTTTTTATTTTTATGTCGAAATTGTTCAAATGAAATGATTTAGGAATAAAATAATAGCTAAAAAGTTGGTGAAAAGAGATTTTCATGTGAACATTCATTTCATTCATCTCAAAAAGTATAATTTTTTTTATGAGAAAATTTCTCATTTTATAATTTTTAAGGATGAATTTATTTATGTATTTATTTTGAAATGATATAAGAATTATTATTTCTTTTGCAATTTTTTTTGCATAAATTAACAGTGTTAATTAATCAACTAATTAAGTAATTAATTTTAACTTATTAATTACTTATGAATAAACATTCGGTTAACAATTAATTTCTTTGAAAATGTTTTTTTGAAAACAATTATGCTACTTAATCAATTGATAAAAAAAAATTATCCACCAGTTATTTGTATTAATATCAACAAAGCATTTTTGATAATAATGCTACAACTAACATTATTATCATATCTCATCACTAATACATTATCAGCTTACTACAATTTATGTTGACATTATCATTTATGCTATCATTGATTACGTTGTTATCATTATACTACACTTATCTTTACTTTAAAAATGATTAAAAACTTATCATTAATTACTAAAGCATATCTTCATTTACTTTACTTCTTTTTTTACTCTCTTCAATAGAATCATTTCCCTGTGTGATTTCTAGAATAATTGATAACGTCTAAAAAATTCTTTTGTAAATGAATCTTTTAGAAATCTTCAAGGCGTTTCAAGTATTCCTATACTTGAATTCATATTTTTAAGCCAATTTTTTTAAATTTAATTTTATTACTTTTAAATTTAAAAAAAAATGACAAAAAGATGATGAACAAATGCTGAATTGATGCTTTTTTGATTTATTAAATGCTATTTGAAAAACTTATAAAAATGAAATGAAGCTTATATATATATATATATGTATATTTACAAAGAGAAAGGGAGAGAGAGAGAGAGAGAGAGAAGGAAGGAGATGGAATAGAAAGAAACAAAGAAGAAAAACCCAACTGAGTATTTCTGAGGACAAAAAAAATTCATCAAAATTGATTAAAGATTGAATTTCGAAGTGCAAAATGGTGAGAAAGGAAGTGAAAAATGATATTTTTGCATATTTTAACACTGGTATATCGTAGTCTTATCAGTAATGATAAGATTAATCGAGAGAGTTTATAATTAAGAGAGTAATTAATTTAAGATATTTATCTACTTGATAATATTACTTCAATAAAAAAATAACAGTGTTTTAGCATAATATTTGAGAAGGAAATAAAATTTTAAAAATGAATGTAAGTGAAAATTTTTAGAAATTTCATTAAGTTATTTGATTGAAGCAATATTATCAAATGAGAGAAAATAAATTAATGCACCTGTTCTGCAATAGACAAGTAGGTAAATATCTTGAATTAATTTCAAGTAAATTCATGCATGCATTAATCATTAACATTTTAAATTTCAAAGTACTTAAATTTCAATTAAAAATTTCTTAACAAAATTTTTTTTTTCTCAATAAAGAAAACAAGACTTGAACTTTCATGAACAATCTGTGGAAGTATATTTTTAAATTTAATTACTAACTTTTAATTTCAATTACTCACTAATTAGCTTTTATAACTTTTATAAATTCCTCAATGCATGTGTATCATTATGCAAAAAAAGGTAATTCAAGAATATTTATAATATTTCACATCAATCTTATCAGTTTTTCTTATCAGATACATAATATCTATGGCATTTGGAGGAAAAATATTAGCCGAACAATGAGCTAAAAGACTGATTAAATTAGCTCAAAAAGAATAATTTTTCTTTTTCATAGCTTATGTTCACTTGTTTGAATGTAAAAGCTAAATAGAATCAATAGAAAAAAAAAATTTGTTTAAAATTATCTATTAAAATGACATTTGCGCAAAACTATTTTTCAGATTTTCTAAAAATCAGTTCGTAATTATTTGCACTTGTCACTTGTCACTTATTAATTTTTTTTCTTTTTTATTTGTAATTATTGAAAAAAAAAAGAAACAAAGAAGTAATCATAATAAGTTGAAAAAAAAAGTTTTCAAATTTTTTAATGATTGATAGCATATTATGCTTTTTGATTAAAATAATAAAAAGAAAAAAATGTGAAAATATTGTTTATGTGCTAAATGTTTTTTTTTTTTTTTTGAAATAAACAATGAAAGAAATCAATTCATTGAGGCATGTAGTAATCAATAAAACTTTTTACTAAAACAATTATTGTCATTCGATGAAAAATTGTGCACTTAAATGAAATTAATAAATGATTTTAACTTGTATTATGATTTGTCAACATTGCAAGTCCTATAAATTACATACCAAATATATTGCTGTACTTATAGCTAAACATAATTTTTTAATTTTAATGAGAAAAAAAATTTTTTTCATTTAGAATAAATCGAACTATTTCAAAAAAAAAAATTGCCTATTTCATTTAAATGTAAATATTTACTTTTTTGAAATCATTTCAAAAAAAAGCTAATAAAAAAGTTAAAAAAAGAACCTAAAATGATTTATGTGATTTGTTAGTTAATATTTATATAATTCTCTATTTCATTTAAATGTAAGTATTATAATTTCACAAAAAAAAAGTGAAGCATTGATAATTTAAAACAATGAAGTTAATTTGATTAATACAAATACAAATTAATACCTTATTCTTGTTAAATTAAAAATTAAAAAGTACCAAATTAAAAAAAAAAAAGATTAACTTATGCGTAAAAAAAATTAAGAAAAATTTATAAATATAAACGATATTAAAAGAACAAATTAATGTATAGATGGAATAGAATGCTTACGCACGTATCACGTAACTAAGAAGACGTAGATAGTGGGACGTGTTTTTTTATACTTACAATATCTTACTATTTATTTATTAATTTATTAAGATGTAAATTTTAAACTACACTGATAAACATATATTTTTCAAGGTGTGAAACTGAATGTTACCTATATATCATAAAAGTAAACAAAAAAAAAAAAAGTTTGTGAAGTAATTGACGTTCACATTTAATAATACACTTATTGCTAACAATGCTGCAATTAATTTTCCCAGTATTTCTTATCATAAATACAAACTTGAAAAAGATTAAATGAATGACGTGGATGACGTGAAGTATAATGCGTTTTGGAAATAACGTATGATAATAGTTATGATATCAAAAATTCATAATATCGTACTTTCGGTTAAAGAATCCGGTAAAAGAAAACCGGTAGAAACGGTTAGAGCAATCTGTCTTTGATGTAACAAAAACATACTGAAAAAAGCGATCAGAAATAAAATATTAGATAAACGAGTTATATAGTAGCAAAATAATTAAAAAAGTATAAACTATTTATTTTCTAATTTAGATGCTTATTAATTAAGTTTAAATTGTCAATTTTTTCATTTAGCATATTTTTTACCAAATTTAAATTATTTTTTTTTTTATTTTAGTGCTCAAAAAAAAAATTCCCCATTTAATGATGTCATTTCCTAAATTTCGAATTTTATAAACAAGCAATTAATTCAATTAAGTTTTTCTGATTAATTGGAATTATTCGTCTTTTATATTATAAAATCATTTCAATATGTTAATAGAAAATTCTCGAAGACATACTACAATGAAAGAAATTAAATCTAACAAAATTGTTTAAAATTGTAGTTTTAAAAAAATCTGAAAAAAATCTCTAGAAGCATTATTATTCCAATATTTATTTACTTAAAAAAAAAGGAAAAAAAGGAACTTACCTGTTGGAAATAATCCATTCGTCTTCGAGAAGATGCTCTGATCGGTGAACAAATACTGATCATATCTGTTTGTAAATAAGATAAACAGATAATATCATCTTATCATTTTATTTTAACTTATAAAAACTACTCTACTTAGCTTAGACTCATTATTCCATATTCTTTTACAAATTAAAAAAAAATACATTTTAAGTTGTTTTTAAGCAGTTTTTTTTTAAATAAGCAGAAAATAATATCTTATAAAATTTTTGATCATAGCTTATTGATTAAATTTTCAATTTCTTTTTTTTTTATTGGCAATCAGAATAGAGAAAATTTGACAGTACTTTAAGTAAAAGACAAAATTCTTTGATGGATATCCAACAAACGTTAGATGAAGAATTGAAAGTTCTTGTTAAAAATCAATTCATATCACTTCTAATATATTTAATTTTGAAAATTCTTCAAGAAAATGCAAAGGTGATAAGTTGAAAGTACTATTTCAACTTTTTAACGCTATTTTATGACAAATATGAAATTGTTGGCAAATGATATGTAAACAGCAACCTACTAATTAGCTTTTTAAAATCTCTTCAAATTATTATTCATAATTGCTCTAATTATCATAATCCCTTCACTCTCTCTCTCTTTTTCCCTGTTTGTTTTTTAATCTTTGATCATTAATATGTTCTAATCTATGATATAATCAATAATCAATCCCTTCTGTCACTTAGATTAAATGATAAAGTGTGATAAGGAGTGATCTAACAAGCCAATACCACTAATGGATAGCATTCAAATCACTTTTAATTTCAGAAGAGTAAATGATTGATAATTGTTATTAAGTTTTCTATTAGTTATGCAAAAAATAGAATCAAATTTAAGATTTTAAAAAGACTTTGTTTAAATATGTAAATTGGAATTTCAATAAAAATAAATTGATAGAATTATCAGTTTCATAAACAAATAAATGAATATTTATGATCAAAATCAATTAATGCATTGATGAAGTGTTTAAATTAAATTTGTTAAATAAAAGAAACAAACGACAAATCAAAATGAAATTTACCGGCTTTATTTTGATTATTTTAGTTTAGCTATTTAAGAGTTACTCAAATGATAACATATCAATGATAATCATACGACAGTGATTATTTAATCATTTTGCTCTATTGCTCTCCAATGGTACTGCCTTTCATTTAAGTTTATTTAATTCGTCTTATTCTTGGTAATGCAAAAAATTCAGAAAAGTTTTAGCTTTAAACTTATTTAGAGTGTCTATTTTATAGCTCAGCTAAAATCACTTGAAAATTTTGACATAGCTCAGTTGATAGATTGAAAGATACATTTCAATATTAGCTTGTTAATAATCTGAGAAAGAAAATTATTTAAATGATTTTAGCTAAGCTATGAAAAATAGAGTTTAAAGCTAAAACCTTCCATTTCTAGCTATAAAAAAATGTCATTTATTCTTGCTTATGTTCAATTTAAAGTATTTTTTACTTTTAATTCTTCATTAAGTTCAATTCTTCAACTTAAAGCATTTTATATTCAAAATACTTTATAAAGTTCAGTCTTTCAATTTTAGAACATTCAATATGGTAGAAAATGATGTTCAAAATTATTGCTTTTGAATTTTTTCAGAAAATTTATTTTTTATCTTTATTCTCTCGTTATGTTTGATTAATTTAAATATTTTGAAAAATGGATGTTGTTTTTATCAACCTAAAACTTTTTATTTTTCAATAAAACTTAATTTTTACTAATTAAAAAAAAAAATGTGTTTTTTAAAAAAATCTCTTTTAACCATTTCTTTTCTTTTTTTCTGGATCATAACAAATTGTTATCAAAAATAAAATAGAAACTAAAAGTTAATTTTATTAAAAAAAAAAATATCCAACTTTTTTTTTCAAATACTTGTTTGAAATTTTTTTTTTTTAAACTTGCCATAACTTTCCATACTTTCTTCAATGGGAAGTTCTCGTCGTTGATTGGAATACACCGGAAATGCTAATTTAACAGCTGGCGTCCACGACTGTCGCAAACATTCCGAAAGCGGTAATTGCTGCTCGACATTATCATTCATCATTAACAGTGTCGACTGTTCAATATCATCGTCTGATGAAATTGGTGATAGCATACCTCTCAGATGCAAATTTGTCAAAGTTGGACAATTTTTAGGTACTGATGGAACTGATGGAAGACGGCGACGAATGCGGTAATTATCATTTCGCCAAACCATTCTCATCAAATTTTCATATTCCAACAATATGTTAGTTTAATAAGACTGATCGCATCAATATCTAAATTTCATTTTTACTTATTTTTTTTTAATGTAATAAAGAAATTCTAATTAATACAATTTTATAAATATAATAATTATACCAATAATATTAAATAATTTTAATTAATGAATATGAATCTATAAAATTGATAATTAGTACAAATTGTGTTTATACAAATTGTGTTCAACTAATTCATACAACAATATTTAAAGCTTTTATAAGCTTTAAAAAAAATTTCTAATTTTATAAAAGTTTAATTTAATAAGACGAAGCACATTTAAATCTATTATTTATTATTATTTTAAATGTAACAAAAAATTGATTTTATGTAATTTTATATTTTAAGAAATGTTAGCAAAAAAAGAAAGAGAAAATTGAAATAACTTGAAACTTGAAATTATTATTTGGAGTAAACAACAAAAATATAATTTTTTAGCAGCAAAAAAAAAGAGTTATATTTCAGACAAATATTTCAAAATATTTTGTAATATTATGAAAAATTTACATATTGAAATTCTATTTAGTGTTTGCTTTTTTTTCCGGATAACAACAACAGCGATAATTTTACTTTGTATAATTATACCTGAAAATGAAAGTCATAAAATGTAATTATTTTAATTAAAGCAAAAAATCGAAAATTTCTAATTATCTAATTTTGTTTAATGATAAAATAAAATGAATAATTTGATGATTTTGGGGTGAAAAAATCATGAGAAATAATCTTAGAGAGAATAATTTTTGAAATTTTATTGAAAAATTTTATTGGTTGAACAGACGTCAATGATCTGATAGAGAGACTTAGGCGATTGAATAATCAAAATTTAACTTTGACTTTGGGAATTTTTTTTTCTTCCAGTAGTATCTTTGATATTGATTGGAAGGAAAACGAATTTATTATTTTGGCTAATGAAAGCTTTGACCTTTGACCACTGCTATATAATTAAAAAATGAATGCTTAATTTTCAAAATACTTTTATTTATTTTTGGTGATTATTATCATTTTTTTTTTTTGTTAAGGAAGAGAAAGGAAAGAATAATGATATATTTATTATATTCTGTTTAATAAAAGAAATCTTAATTCGCCAAATTTAATTTAGTATTAGCAATGAAGGAAGCATGAAATGCAGAAGTACTCTGAAATTTATTTGATATAAAAAAATGCTTCACTTAATGAACTGATAATTTACAGCCATGCATGCACGCATGCATGCATACTTGCATAACTGCATTTACACCACTTTAATTCTGCTGCAATATTGTAATTTGACATTTTTAGCAGATTGAAAATATCCATAAAATATTGATAATGAAAAGTGGGACAAAGAAAATATTATCATTATTATCTCATCATCACTGAGAATAAAATAAAGTGATAATTTATCTAATTATAAGTTTTATTAAAAATGCTATCAAAATATCAAAAGATGAAGATTGAAAAAGCAAATATGAAAAATGAAATATTACTTTTAGTAAATTTATATAATTTTTTTATCATTCTACTTCACATATTCTTTATGTTTTTTTTTTCTTTTGACTTTTTTTTTTTTTTGTTAAGAGAGAGAAAAGGAAGAACGAATATATTTTGTTTTAATAGTTTTTGTCTTTTTTTAATTTAAGAAAATCTGTTTATAGTTTAGACTCTCTCTTTCCATTATATTACTCTGTGATATAGCCAAGATAAGTTTTTTTTTTTAACTTATTATCATTTCTGATTATTAATGAATTATTAGGCAGATGTGTAGATGGAGGAGCAAAGGCTGAAGATAATTTCTCTTCAAATATTCATGCATTTTAAAATAAATTTTTTTTTTAATAAATCATATAAATTTAAATAAATCAAGCACTACAATTTAAAGAGTAGAAAGGAAATTATCAAAGTAAAGTAAAGTAAAGTAAAATAAGATAAAGATAAAGTGATTAGGATATTGCTTGATTTCACTTCGATCTAAATTTTAATTTTCAACATTAATTTTTAATCTTTTTTTCAATAGCAAAATTGTTAGTTACTTCCTGAAATTTTAAAACATTCATTTCGAGCACCTGTTCAATTCAATGTTTCAAATATTATTTCAATTTTAAGAAAGTATATTTAGCACAATTGAACAGATCGTTTCTTTATCTTCAAATTTTTTATAATTTTTTGAAAATTTAACTTAAAAAGTTGATGATAAAAAATATCTTTGGATACTGGTTTCAATAAGGTACTGAAAGAAAGTATTTAAAAAGGAAAGTAAAAAAGATTACATCGATGATGTCGTATGATATTAAGAGCAAAAAATAAATAAAATTAATGAAATGAGAAGAATGGAAAGAGAGAGAGAGAGAGAGAGAGAGAGAGGGGGGAAAAGAAAAGGTTGGAGACGAGAAATATGAAAATATATTAATTATGAATTGAAGCTTATTTAATTAGAGGTGATGAGCTCAATGAAATTCTTTCTGCTAAAAAACGTAACTTTTTGAATTTTTAAATTATGGTCAAAGGCCAAAACAAATAACAAAGAGCCATGTAGATAGATATTAAGCATAAACAAGCACATTCATTTCGATATCCTATGAAATAAATAATTCAACGATTAATTCGAAATTGCTAAATCAATGATTTTTTATTTTGTAAAAAAAAATGAATGATAATCATGAAAGAAGATGAAAAATGGTTGCAGATAAAATAACAAACTGCAAAATGTGAAAATAATCATAAAATGTTTTCCTTTTAGCTAATAGCTAACAGTCATGAAATTAATTAATATGACTTAAAAACATACAAGTAATAATTACTTGTAATAATTATTATTGACTCTAAATACTATTTACATTAGTAAAAAGAGGTAATAATAGATTTTGAAGTTTATTAATTATATGCAACAAATGAAGCAATAAATTCGATGGAATATCTTTTGCTTAAATATATTTTAACTTTATTACAATATGACAAGTGAAAAAATAAATAAATAAAAATGCCAAATATCCTTTGCATTTTTTTTTCTTTTTTTTTGAAGTTATTTTATAACTTTGTTAAATCAACAGTTTCCTTTCTTAATAACTTATACCAATTTCTTATTTTAATGAAAGCAAGTATTATCATAAAATAACTAAAATACAATATGAATGAAAGCTTTAGCTTTCATCAAATCTTATTGCATTTATAAATGATCCATTGATAAATGATCAAATTTTATACCTATTTTCAGCTTATATAATTGCAATTTCCATTAAATTTATGCTTATTTAAATTAAAATTTTGGTTAGAATAAAATAAACAGTGAAATTTCAATCAATCATTCAGAATGATTAATGTTTAGATTTAATTAAACTTTTTTTTCTTTTCCCTTTTCACTCATATACATATACATGTATGCTTTTTTTTATATTTCACAAAAAAAAAAAAAAATTTTTTTCATTTTAAAGTGTTACAAGCAGTATTGGAGAGAAAGCAAAGAAAAAAGAAAGAAAGAAGAATTTTTGATGAGAAATCTTAAAAATTTTTGCAAAGATTGAAATATAACAGAAAAGATTGATTAGCGCAGATTGTTAAAATAAGAAAGAACTGTTAGAGTGCATATGTGATGAATATTTTCCTGTTGATTTATCATTGAATAAGCTATCATTATCATTTTATTTATTGATATATCATTTTCCTGTTATTACTAGCGGTATGCCTTCATGAAAAGCATTAATTCTTTTTATTTTCTGATTTTAAAGTAAAAAATTTTTGTGTTAAGAAAATTGCACCAAATTTTTTATTAGCAAATTTAAGTTATGATTTAAAAATAAGTAATTAAATTTAATGAGATTTTTTTTTTCATACTTTAGTATGATCTCATTAATGCTATTCATTAATAATAGATGCACATCTAGTTTTGCTCAAGTTCGAATTATCATTTAAATGATTCGTTCCTCTGTGACGTATACATAAACTACTTTTTTTTCTTTTTAATTATTAATTTATAAACTTGGTTCAATTGCAGTTTTTCATAGATTTTATTTAAGAATATTTGGTAGTCAGCGTATATGAGTAGAATTAATATTATTAAATCTAATTTTGATAGAGATGAACTCCACTTAAAATTTATTAACTTTAAAATTGTGGCTCTATCAAAATGCCGATAAAATAAGAATTTATTTAAAGTCAATAAAAATTTAATAAAATCATAGGGTCTTATTAAAGTAAGGAGTTATTGAAGTTAAAAAGTCTTATTAGATTTGTTTCTTTAATGCTTAATTTTCACAGAATTGAAGCAAACAATTTAAGTAAGTTTTATAAAATGTCATAGCTAGCTTAGCTTTTTTTTTTTGAAGTTAAATAAATTTTAGTGATATTAAAAAGAGCAAAACTTTTTGCAAAACGAATTATTGTAAAATGAGTTCGTTTAAGTCATTCAATTGTTTTCTTTTCTTTTTTCAATAATATAACAATGTTATGGTTTTATAAAAAATAAATCAAATGAATTTATTTGTTGAAGAAATACCATCCATTTAATATAATTTCTTTTTTTGACTCAATGAAAGTCGTAAATATGACGTTAATCGAGATTTATAGGAAATCTCAAAATTTTTTTTTCTTTTTTTGAAAAATTTTTGGAGAATTATTTTTATTGATTTTAGAGAATTATCTGAAAGAGACAATTAACCCCAATGACCCTACTATAATAGAGCAGTCAAAAAGTGACGCATTCCTTATTTATCGATTTTTATTCTGATATCATTGATAAGACGAAATAGCTATTATCATATGCAAATGGTTATTTTATATAAGAAAATGTATTACCAAATATTTCTAATTAAAACACAACAATAATTCAATCAAGAAGTGCAATCTTATAAATAAAATTTTGGTAGGAAGCATTCAGTGATAAGAAAAAGTGTTGTATGATAAGTAAAAATTCATTAAAGTTATAATTCATTAATGCGGACATAATTCAATTTAATTCTATCACAGCTACTTTTTTTTTAAAACAGCTAATTACTAATAAAAAAAAATTAATGCTAATATTTAATGCGTTATGTATGAAATCTGAACAATTAAATGATTAAAATGATAATAAAGAATAAAAAATTTTTTAAATTGTTATTGGGTGATGTTATTGAGATAATATAATAAAACTTTTATAACAATCCTTCTATTCCACTCATTTTCTTTCCTGTTAATTATCTTTTAATTATCATTTAAAGCTAAATAAACAAACTAATCTATAATTTACTACGAAATTGTTGAAATAAACATTTAAAGAAACAATCGCAATTAGTCAACTAATTACTCAATTAATTAACCTTTAATTTTTCCTTATCTTATTCAATCCTTACGTAATAAGCATTTATGTTGGATTCTGTTAAGGTAACATTAAGTAAAATAATTTTCTCATTATTAACAAATGTAAATATGAAAAAAGAAGGAAAATGGAAAAAAGTGACGAAAATACGAAATAATAATATAAAATGGTAAAGAAAATGAATAATACTAAGATTGATCTATTAGCTTTGTTAAGTATACTAACATATTAATTATGCTAATAATTATGATAATAATAATAATTACTGGTGATTAACAACAAACAACAAAGATTTTGATAATAGCAAATCTGAAAAGAATAAATCATTTAACAAAATGAGCCAAAATGTAAAATGAATTATTATAAAATGAAGCTATTGTACAAAATTTAATACTATGTGTAATTTGTTTTTTTTAAAAAAAAACTTTGAAATGTTTAAACTGAAATTGTATCTAAAATAAAAAAATTTTACAGTAATTAATCGAGATCGAGATATTCCAACCATATTTACTCTTTATATTTCTCAATAAATTTATGAGAAATCCCAATGGGCGGGAGAAAAGTAAGAAATCACATAACAATACAATATCAATTTTCCATCATTTATTTAAAAGAGAGAGAGAGAGAGAATTTTAAATATTAATTGTTGTATGATAATTCTAGCAAAATAAAAAAAAAAATTATATTTTTCTACGCTTTATAATATTACTAATGAGAGAGGAGAAAGAAGGAAGAGAGAGAGAGAGAGAGGAAGAGAAAGAGAAAAAAAAACACAGATAAATTGAGAGAAAGAAAAGTAAATCGATTTTGAATTCATTAATCATTTCATGCATTTATTTCATTGATCTTATTATAATGTAATGATTTTTCATTCATTTTCAATAAATTAGAAAATTCTTTTCGATGCATTTGAATTATATTTCAAATTTATATTATATAACGGAATTCTCACATTTCTTTTATTTTCGTCAATTTTTTTTTTTTTCTTTTTTAACTCTTTGGAAAAAAATAATCTTTTCTTGAATATATTAAATAAAAGGATAAAATCTAACATAGTTATTCTGCTACTATTAATTTGAACACATTTCAATATTTTTCATATTCATTTTTACTTATTTATTTTCCGATTTCTTTTTCATTTTCTCTCTCTCTCTCTCTCTTGTTTCTAATCTTCAACTTCTACTCACAGTATTTTGAATGAATTAGTGATGTGAACTTTTATTGACAAAAGTAGTAATTGATGAAGTGAATGAATAATTTTCTTTTCCTTTTTGATAAATTTATTGATGCATAATAATTTCTTGAGTTTTTGAAAATTAAATTTCAACAAAATTTGAATAGAATCCAAGGCACTCAATAATTCTCAAAATTCTACTTTTTTTTTCTTAAATTTTAACAAATTTTGTTCGTTCATCTAGAAATTTTGAATATTTGAAGTATTTTCACAACAAAATCTTCATTTAATTATCAATCTAATGATAAATAGCAATAATGTCTTACTAAGTTCTGTTTACATTCAAATTTAAATTTTAGAAGTTTGAATTTTTAGCAGATCGATTAACGAATAGTAGTGATAGTAATTCTCTTTCTACATATCTTTCCTTTTTCCCATTAAAATTCATTTTCATTTCTTTGTTTTTATTATTTGGTTAATATTTGCTCCTCGAGATGCATTTCACCCATTTCTCATTAATGACTAGTGGTAATGATAATCAAATTGATAAGTGACCAATAGGTAATAGTAAAACCGAAGGTAATTGAATTTATATGCGAAAAGCCTTTAATTTCTTAAATCTTTCTTATCATAATGAAGGATTAGAGGTATTTCTGGAAACAATGATATGAGGTTGTGACCAGAAGAGATTTTGGCGTAAACGATGAAGGAAGGAAAATGAGCATTCAAAATTGTGGAATAAATAATTTTGCTATTCATTATCTAATTTAGCACATTTATCTCTAAGCATTTTTATCGCTATGTAATAAAGCCTTCCAGGAGTATTTACGGTTGCTAACTATCATGTGTTCAAGTAAAAAGTTTCACAAAGTATTATAACTCTAAATGCATGTAGAGCTCATATGCCATCGTTTGGCTTGTTCGTTACTGTCTGCTTATTATGACTCATCGAACTATTAAATCACATCAAACTATTAAACTGTTAAGAAAAATTTGTTCATTGTGTGATAACGGCAGTGATAGGAGATAAAATGAAAATAAAGATATGTCACTTATTACCATAAGCACACTTTAGTTATTTTGCAGTAATAAAAAAGATATCCAATTCTAAACAGAAATAATGCAATGTTCACTTCATTATAATACAATGTTAACTTCAATAAGAAAACTTTTATTTATTCAAAATTGAATGACAAAAGTAGTCTTTCTGTTTTCGTTTCCTTTGCATTTTACAAAGAACCTGAATTTAAACAAAGAAGAATTGTTTACCAGTTGAAGAAAACAGCCAGAAGATTCAAAATATTTGAACCATCTTTTAAGGAACTACAAAATCACAAGCCGTCAAAACACTAAAGTTATATGAGAAAGTTTTATACCTTATTTAACAAGAGTTTAAAGACTTCAGCTTGTTTCTACTGACAATTCTGAATTATCAAATAAGTTTTTAAGCTGCATCCGAAGTAGGCACGAAGTCATAAATGTCTTTAAATGACAAGCTTGAATCTGAAGAAATCGAAGTTATAAGCTAAAAAGAAATTCATTTCCCAAGTTATTTACCTTAACAAAGAACCAGAAAAAATGCCAAATAAAAATCGATGTTAATTAATCCTATAGAAGTCTTCAAAATTAATAGTAGTAGCGATCTCATTTCATGCAAATGTCAACAGAATAGCATATGAATATAATGCAAATAGGAATAATTCAAAAGTTTTCTAATTAATACATATGCTCCGCATTGTTATTTCTTGGCATTTTGATTTTCTCGAAATTTTTTGTAATCATATCATGCAATGTAGCAAAGTGATTGCGCATTTCAGTTAGTACAAGACGAATATTGATGAACTGCTTTTCATCCATATCCAAAATGGCTCGACGATAATCTTCCTGAATAGAATTTTATGGATTTTTTCTCTTGGAAAACATAAGAACGAACAAGGATAAGCTCCAAATATCATCCGTGATAGATTGTACACAGTGCATACATAACCAGTGCAAAGTGAAAATTTCAAATTTTACGTATATTTTAATATAACTCAAGCATAACTTACAACATGTGGATACTTGGCTACTTTAGTTACCAGACGAGCACGGCTAACGAAATACCGAGACATCTGGTCAAGAAATGATGCTGCTTCAGCTTCTACAGTACGCACCTGAGAAATTCAAATTTCAATTGTATTCAAGTTTCATGTATATTTCGACGGACCATAAACCTTAGAATTTAATGAAATGGCTCAAAATTTACCATACATGCAATGAACGATGATGGAACAGAAAAAAAAAATGCTTGGATTTCAAAAATTGAAATTCTAAGAAAGAGGACCTCACTCAGAGTTTCTTCCTGTATAGATACACCAAAATTGTTGCCATCTTCAATACGTGGAATCAAAAACAAGATCCACATTTTTACCTGAAAAATGTCAGATTTATTTAACAAAAATTTTCAGATTATAATGCTGCTTGACTATTAAAAAGTAAAGATGGCAAAAAAAAGAAAAATAACACAAGTCTAAAGTGAACCTTGTTGACCGCTTCAACTGAATCACGAAGTAAAGGCCGTGTGATATCGGTGAGACCAGCAAGCTTTTCGTTACATTTAACAGTTCCGCTTATAAAACCATAGACTGAAGTGCCTGAAAACGTGTATCCTTTTATTATGTATTAATTATACGGCACACAGTGTCTTTTCAGTTAAATAATCTTTTTTATTATTAATTTTGAAAATTACTGAATTTGGTTAAACAAATGCTTTGACCAGCACTTCTTAGTGATCACTAAAATCATGAAGTAGTAGGCCTAATGAGTGAAAGAAAAATATTGCTTTATCAGCCTGGTCAATAAAAGCACTAATAAATAATGAAGATTCCGAAACACTCAATCTCCTATGACCAGTAGCTGTCATCAAAGTGCTAAGAGGTATAAGTGCACCAATAAATATACAAAATACAAATTAAAGATAACCATGAAAAGGTTGAATATTGGCATCAATTTTCCTCTTTTTTTTCAGAATCCTATCATCATTTTCATGTTCAGTTGAGTCATTCTGCAACATATTATTTTTAAAGAATCTAATTTAAAAAAAAAGAGAAAATTTTCAAAAATATAATAATAACAACAATAATTTCAAATTCAAGAACTACCTGAAACTCAGTTAGTTGTTCTGAGTATGGAATCCCTAAATCAATATTCGGCAAAACTTCTGGAAGTCGCTCATACGAGAACTGCTCGTCCTGAAAAAGATAATCAAAATAAGTAGATATGTTAAAATAAGATATTCCAACCAAGTAGTAAAACATCCAAAATTAAAAAAAAAAAAAGAACTGTGAAAATCAACTAGTGAATAGAAACAGCAAATTTTACAGGTCTCTTATGCTAATTTAATTCAAGTTCAAAGATAAATAACAAGTATACTTGGAAAGAAACCAACCTCAAGTAGGTTATTAAACTCCAGTACCTTCTTCGGGAATTCTTCTAGTACAATTTTTTCCGCTTGTTTCATTAAATTTACTTTATAAGCATCAAGCTGAAACTAATTTGAGAATAAGCTTTCGAAATGGAAGAACATGGAGAACTGAAAATTACTCGCCACTTACTCCTACTCCAAGTTAAATTTATATGATAATTGTTTACTCTGCGTTCCAATTGCGCTCAGCAGCTCACATTGTTAGTAAAACAAACTGCACTGGGATGACAATTTTCAACTCGACGCTTTTATTTGAATCTCATTTTCAACTTCATGATATCGAAATGATTTATTATTTACCAATTCAATTTAAACTTACACCACGAGCAGCTGCACTTTTCTGCTTTTTTTCAGACAACATCATGCAGCAAAGCCTAAAAATTGAACAAATGAAGTTCTTAAATCCAAAAGGACAAATAAAACTATCACACAACACGAGGCCAAAGAATGAGGAAATATTGAAACTCTTCTTTAATATATTCATTTTCTACAAAACTGTTTATGAAAAGATTCTCCCAAATTACATATTCAAAAAAAAAAGTCCTCTCACAACTAAGCAAGGAAACAAAGCAAAACAAACTGGAATATTTGGTCTACTAACCAGGCGCAAACGGATAAACAGATCAAAGGGTTTCAGATATTTATTAATTTTTTAACTCATAATATATGTCAAATTTCCAGTGTACCCCATTTAAATTTTTAATATTAAGTGAAATAAAAAATCATCCTGATAAAGATCAACTCTGTCACTTAAGAAAATAACAATGTAAAATCATACGCCTGAATCCAAAAAATGTACAGCAGTGTATATATATGGAGATGAATTCTCAGTGATTAAAACGAAAAAGAAAATTACAAGAAGAGGAAATATACATTTGAAATAAGATCAAATCATCAAGACAGCTTCATCAACATATAAACAATATAACTGTAATTCCTTTTGACCTTACTGTTTAAGTCATCAAAAAGACAAATATAATTAAGTAGGAATAACAGAAATGTTATCATGAGGAAAACTACTAAGGCTGCTTGAATTTGAAAATATCGATGATGGTCTCGTGACATTTCCTTAGGTTTAAATCACACGAACCAATTTCACAATGTCCTACACTTTGGAAATAATTTAATCCACGTCCAATTTTTACCACCCAGCCATTGCTGAATCTAAAAACAAACCGTTAATCCTCAGCGAACAAAACAATATACAAAAAATGAATATGCAGATGAGAAAAAAAAAACCTTCCCAGCTCAATGATATAAATCAGATTTGCATTTTGTATTATCCTAAAAATCTGGAGTATGAGAATATGCCTTCAAATGAAACCTGCCTGATTTCTCGGTCATGAAAATTCTCATCGTAACAAACATCCAACTCGATATCACGGCACGCTAAACTACCTTTCAGCTGTTGCAGTAAACCTTCTGCTCTGACATCATAATGTGTCCAAAGACGTATTGTTTTTAGATTTGGTGCATGAAGAACGAACAATTCGCAGAATCGCACGAAATTCAAAACCGGAAATAAATTTTCAACTCCTTCAAATTAGGATAATCTTTAACTGGTTAAACTCTAACTCTCTTTCTCAAACTAAGTTTATCCAAATTTGGTTTTTAATCTCTACCCTCCATCTGTTGCCACTTCGCCTAAATCTCATTAAACATACTTGATATGGCAGTATAATATAGGCATCTCGAACATTGATTTCTGTGAGATCATTGTCCGCGCATCGTTTGAAAATTCTTTCATACCCGAAGCCAGTCTGCAGATCAGCAACCCGTTCTTCACAAAATCAAATAAAAAATTTACGATCCAACAAATACAACTTTCTTCCCGGCACCCGAGCAAAAGCAATCCTCAGGTCCAAGTAGCGAGCAAAACTTGATAACAAAATACATATTTTAAGCAAAATACGGATAATCAAATCTGGTAATTATGTATTATTAACTATGAATGTGCAAACTACAAAACTGTTCACGAAAGTTTGTAAACTAGAAATCTACTATTTTTTCTGATAACTCGAAAAATAGCTACGTAAATTTAGAACGATAAAATTTTATGCTTAACTAATACACTTGAGAAAGTTAAGCCATACATCGTTATGCATGATATGTATCTGCTGCACTAAGAGTATTTCTGGCTTCATTTGTCCTTTTAGTACCTCTGCTCTAGTCAAATATTTTGATATTCTTTCCCGCAGAACTTCTCTGGCACTTTCCACTGTATCATCACCTAAAATGAACGGTATCATCTAATCTTCTTATCAATTACATTAACATTAAAATTGAAATAAAAGTTTCGCTTCAGAAATATAAAATTAATAAGCCGTAAATGTTAATGAAGTTTTTTGAGAAACAATGCTTCCGAAATTCCGACCTCGATCAATTTTCATTTAATCTGCCAATATATTTTTTTTCAGAAACCAAAAAAATCCTTGAATTTAATCAGTTCACCAATGAGAGAAAAAATTAACTTACATGACAAAGCCCCAAGCAATAAAGTGATACCCTCTGCATAATTTTCGACCGCTTCATCTTTTTTGTTGTCTCGATCAAGGGCAACTGCTTTTTGTAAGATTGGTTTACTTTTGTCAATAAAAGATTGCATGATCAATAATTCTGTCAATTTCCATTTGTTGTTCGTTCAAATACCTTCATGCTAAATAGAAACTTTCGTTAGTTAATGAAGAGTTACACAAAGGGCAGATCAAAAGACTTGCCAGGAATTTATCACTTTAACCACAAAACATATAACATAAGACTGTTGAGAAAATACCACACTTAAACATGCAATGTAAGGAAGGGAAAACTAAAGCATGGAGAGAGAAACTTGCATTATACAATGTATCGTAAATTTTATTCTGAATATTTTTAATTTAAAAAAAAGACATTCCCTCTCAATTATTACTTGTCATCATTATTATATTTACGATGTCTAGCAAATCCTTTTCATCTCTTCAATTTAAGTGTCTTTTATATAGCATTACATAAATGGCTGTGCATGCAAAACATTATCAATCCATAATAGTTTCACATTCTAACATGTTTTATTCGCCACTATCTAATCCAATATTATTCTTTCTCTATGCATTTTTTCCAAAACAATTTCAGCTTCATTTCGCAAATTATTTGTGAGTAATAAATGAGAAATTAAAGAAATGAGAAGATGACGAAATAGGAAAGATGCATGTAACATTTCAATAATAATACAAATCATCTGACTTTTCTTAATCTACCATTTATATGTACTTTTCCTTACGTGTTACTTACGTAGAACTCATTTGCTACATATAAATAAACTTATCGTACGAAAAACTTAATTATCAAACGACAAATCGCTCAACCCGAACCCGCCACTTCCATTCTACAATAACTCGCCGCAATTGAAGTCTCTTTAAGCGACAATAATAGACACTTTAGTTGGGGCGCTTTGAAAATTATTATCCTGAGAATTGCTTGGTTTTTGAACAGTGAGATATTAATTAGCTAATGGCTATTTTATTACCTGATCTTAGGAGTCACCTGATCTCAGGAGTGATCTAGTGATGATATTATTAATTTAATATTTGCTAAGTTAAAAAGGAAATTGAACTTTCTTCTGAAAAGGCTTATTAATATTATATGAGCTGCAATATTTAATTGCTTTGAGCTATTTGTAAATTTCATTTCTGAGTTTGTTGATTTCAGATTACACATAGCTTTCTACATCTGTTTGCTTTCTTTTTCCTCTTAATTTTTTATCTCAATATTACTTTTGTCTTTTGGTTATCGGCTAAAATCAGATAACATTACATTTTTTTTCCGCTTATTTTTTTTTATTTATCCTTGTTTTTATTTATTTTTCTCAGAATTTCATCACACATTCCAAATTTTCATTTATTATTCTGTAGAATAAAATATTCGCATCTATTTGTCATTACTCTCAATCTATAACCGACTGTTGAAATCTTCACCATGACAACGTTACTGGTGTTTATGTGTTATCATCATTTTGAACCAATTTGATGAATCTGTTTTACTATAGTGTTCTGTTAATACTCATCCTTAAGCTGTGTACAAGTTTCCTGAATTTTCCGAGCGATAATATCCGTAGGTAAGTGATAAAGGAAAACATTTACCCTTAAAAAGTATTAGTTTTACTTAGGAATGAGTTTTAGAAAACGAATTTTTCAAATGCATTTCCATCGTAAGAAATATGGTCTTTAATTGTCAGTTCTCTACGAAAATATATTAGAATATCTAAAGAAATGTTAAATATACTTAAAGCTAATTCTTTTTTTCTTTCTCTTATTTATAGGTTACGAATATTGGATGTTATCGGTGGTTATCCAAGTTTTTTTGGTGCAATTTACGTTCATAATGATCCTAGTTATGACGTTCTGAGTCGTACTGAGATAAAATCAAGTCGATTTATGCCACTTTCAACAGTTTTACATTTTACTATTAAGTAAACTTTCAAAGCCTAAATGTTGAACAGAGTATTTAATTTAAAAGATAATAAACTACTTTTTAACTTCTCATAAAATTATTTCTATGTTTTTTTTGTTTTTGATTTTTTTTTTTTTGACGTTTGTTTGTTTTATCGGGTCAAAAGATGTTATTTCTGGAAAACGTTTAATCGTCTTTTGATCTCATAATTCTAACTCTAAAATTAGCTAGCAAATAGGTGAAATAGAAAAGGAAAGATTTGTTGATAAAATGAAATGAAAAAGAATGCATATTTCTTTTCTTCAGAAATGTTGACTGTTTGAATTCAGCTTCTGTGAGTTCGGGATGTGAAGTGATATGCTCAAAGTATGGTTTTTTTTTTATTAATGAGTTAACTGTGAAAGCTGGAGTATCTGCTTATTTGGTCTCTAAGCATTGAAATTTCGCTGTGAAATCCGTTTTCTTGAACTATTTTCATCGAATTATGTCTTAATTTTCATCATCTAATTCCAGTCACATTTATATTTATTAGTAGAGATTTATGTGTTTGCTATTGCGAACTCTTCAGGTGATGTCATTGGTATATGCAAATATCTAGTATTTCCGGCTTTTAGAACTGCAGGCCAACTTATACAACTATGTATTGTATGATAATTGTATAGAAATGGATTCTTATCATGCATATAATAAATTTCAGGAATGATCCAAACTGTACGATAAAGCAGCAAACTGTAAGTCATTACTATGCTCCTTTTCTTTTTTTACACCAAAACTTTATCAAAATTAGTGCATCCACCTACTGCATTCTAAAGCATCAGTTCTTAGAAGTAGTTGCGTACGCTCGTTGAAGCATTTAATAAGACTTGACGATTAATCAATTAATAGATGCTTAACATTATAAGTATCACCAATCAATTAATCATCAAGTTTTACTTG